TGATCTTTGGCAAATAAAATTTTATGGCCGATTTTAAAATAAAATCCAGACCGGAAGTGATACTTTGGCCGCCATATTGAAAAAACACACTTTTGTAAAACTCAAAATGGGGCCTCAGGGTAAAAGTTGATATGCTCAAATTTGATGTGAATGTATTCTGCAATCGATTGCGCAAAAAACATTTGGAGCCGAATTTTGAATTTCGCTTTTGCTTTTTTTGCAACATCCGGTTGAAATTTTTTAAAGCTTTAAACGATCACACCATGTGACCTTGACCTTTGATGACCTTGACCTTCATAGGGTCAAAGGTCATTGACCTTGGCTATCATTTGATACTTTGACCTTTGACCTCCGACATGTACTTCCGGTTTTATAGCTATCCGTAAAAAGCCAAATTCGCAACTTTGGACTGCTCTAGCACGTGACCTAATTAACCTAGAGGGTTAATTTTTTCGGTTTTCTAATGTTCTTCTCATGCACTTTACATAGATATAGTACAATTGCTTTTTTAAAGCAAAATTGAAATTGGTGATTTTTTCAAATTTGAGTTTTGTTTTACCATATTTGTGTCATTTTGATCTTGGTGATCTTATGACCTGTTTTATGTAGAACCTTGATATTTGGAATACAACTAGACACTTTGAATATGAATTCACCCATGACAAAAAAATTGGGGTGGGCGTGGCACATCCGGGTTGAATTACTAATTGTTTACATTTTGGGGCTGGGGCATAACTCGCAAAGGATATGTTTGTTAAAAAAGGGCCTTTGCACACAATTACCTCATCCTTTTGGCCAGTTTGTGTTAACAGCTCAGTTGTTTCAACTTCATAGTTCCAAAAAAGGAACGGGTTTTATCATTTGGATATTGTCTTTTTCGATTTTGACCTTTGTTGACATTTGTTGACCTATATCTTTTGACCTGAATAATGTAGAAGCTTGAAATTTAAAACACAACATAACATTTGGAATATCTATTACCCTATGCAAAAAAAATTAAGGTGGGCGTGGCACATCTGGGTTATATTACTCATTATTGATATTTTTGGCCAGGAGCATAACTCGCAAAGTATACGTTTGTTCAAAATGGAACTTTGCATACAATTACCTCATATTGTGAGCCACTTTGTCTTAGAAATTGGATTGTTTCCGCTTCTTAGTTCAAAAAAAGGAACAGGTTTTGGAAATTCAAAATTTTCAATTTTTGACCTTGACCTTTGTTGACCTTGACCTTTGTAGGATCAAACGTCATTGGCATTGGCTATCTATTTGTACTTTCATATTTGCTGTCCTATGTCAACTTCCGGTTTTATAGTCGTGTGCAATTAGAAATTTTGATGACGTATATCTCTTGATCTTGACCTTTTTAGACCTTCTCTTTTACAAGATCAAAGGTCATTGACCTTGGCTATCTGCTGATACTTTCATTTGTGAGATCTGACGTCTACTTCCGGTATTAGAATCTTCTAAAAAATGAAAATTTCTCAACTTTAGACTTGTTCTTGCGCTTGATCTAATTATCGTGGAAGGATGATTTTTTCGGGG